CCCTCCACAATGCAAATAGCGGATTTTTTTACCAAGTCTCACACCATAGCACGTTTTAGATTTCTTCTTAACAAACTCTTGATGTTTTCTACCACATCATGAGTTTGAGAGGGGATGTTAGAGTATTAATACTAAGGGTAGTTTAGGCATTTTCTTTATGTTATGTTGCCCTGTTATATAAGACTTACTTTGTGTATTTCTAGGCTTAAGTTGTGTATTACAGACTTGCTTGATGAATAATATATTTTTCATTTCTCTTCTCTATTCTCATTGATCAATTCTAACACATAGGACAATCAACTTTGCCAAAAGCACTCAGCAAAGAGCTGAATAACTTGTATGCCAATCTACAGTTGAGTGGAACAGGTCCAAAAACCTGCACTCTAACACATTCGGGAGGCCATTCAAAAAGTTTGAAAGAAAAATAGGAGGAGAACATCAGGGGTTAGATGAAACTATTAATGAGAAAGAAGTATGACTTGGGACTAATGAGGCATCGCATATACACCTATGTTGAAATATGATATTCTCCCAGTCCAGAGGATATAGATAAAAGATGTATAGACAACTTCTAAAATCCTTTACAGACCTAGCTATCTCCCCTTGATAACAAATGATAATTGATCTCAAAGGGAATTGACATACTTGTGTTTCAGCAGAGCTCGAAATAATATTACATGTAATAAGATCTCTGAAGCAAGCTTTGACAATCTAAATAATGTCATGAATGATTATACACCCACGGAGTAGCACTTCCAACCATGAAATTTCCACAATCGGTCAATGTGAAAATCCAAATGCCGAAGGAAAGAGATGGGGGCGTTCAGAAGGCAAAATTTTGTTGTTCAATCTAAGCAAGAAGGCACTTGTGCAGTTCAACAACATCATTGAGAGGAAAATAGTATTGGTGTCATTGCTCTGATAGATGACAACAATGTTAGATAAAGAAAACAAATAACCCAGACATAACAACCAAACCTTACCAAGTTGACGACCCACATTCTTTCCATTCATAAGGAGCACACTCAACAACTAAATAGTCTCCGCGGATATCCTTTGCAACTCTAATATCACTATCTAGGTACACAGAGTCAAACCTGCGGATATTGGACATTTATCAACACTACCATAGGACAATCCCATTAAAAGGCAAATATTGAAACTTGGTGACCAATGAGATAATCAGCTTCAACGAGAATTAAAAGGCCATGTGTGCCACTGTCAAAAGAACTGTTCATAAATCCTCAGAGAAATTTCTATACTATGTGGTGGATGTGGGATTTGTGGGTAAGGACAAAGGGAGAGAGTGACCTGAATTAGAAAACTAAACCAGACCTGAAAACAGAGGCAAACAGACTAAGCTGTTGGTGTAGGTGAGTACATAGAAGTACTCAATCAACAAAAGGAAAAACAGGTACTTGGGAAGGATAAAGAGTCGCTGGAATAGAAGAAGATTTGCTACTCACCTATTGCGCAAAATGGAGAACAATTGAGGCAAGAAATTTCATAAAAAGAAAAAGAGAAAAAGAGATATAGTCTTAGAGAGAGTATATAAGTTTTCCCCAAATCCAAAATACGTGGTGTCAAGTCTAAAGGGAGCACATTGTTGCAGCATACTCTCTGTGCGTCAATTTTGACCGAACGGGAACTTCCAGAATTACTACATAATGTCAAACTGTGTCATTAGACTGGCAGACGATAAAGGAGAGGCAGAATCTTGGCTGTATATCTTATTCCTCTTTTGGATTCCTATCAACAAATTAAACTAAGAAAGCCTCAAATGCCATTGTGAAGCTGGATATTTGCCAATGATTGATCAGTAAAATTAGAAAGCAGGTTCAACACAAGTGTCTCACAGCATGGGAAAGTCATAACGCACATGCATATAAGCAACAACAAATTTAGCACCCCATGCAAAACCATGATGCGTATGAAAGGAATCATATAATAAATGCAGCAGAATTTAAAAATAAATATAGATTCCTCATTTCAAGATCTATTTATGTTTAATACAAACGGAAAATCCTAGATCTATAGAGAAGATTAAAAATTATCTCTTGAAGCGTGCTTTTAACAATTTTCGAGCTTTCTCCAATAATCTTCACATATGAATTAGATTTTTACCCCAAGCCTTGCAATCGTTTGGCCTCTATCGGTATCCACACAAATTGATAAACTTGAAAGATTTACCAAAACCTTTAATAACTACTAGAGAGAGAGAATAATGAGTGAATTTTCTTGTGATAGCAACAACAAGTTGTTATCTCATATATCCACCTCCTATATAAAGGTATTTATAGAGTCTTAGAGGACTCTAATCTTAGTTTGGGTCCAGTTGCAATTATCTCATAGTTACATATAACCCTTTTATTAACCAAGTAATAAAGTCACTAATTAACTGTTAATTAAGTTTTCACCCTAATTAACTCTTAATTGATTTTATCTCCTTTATCCTTTAGTTTCCAACCAATTCTAATGTGTGTGACCTATAGATTCAGGCATACCCGGATTTAGGCATTCGATACTAACTACAAGTAACGTCTCAAATTAGAACTCTTTATAAGTTGGCTTGAATTAGAACTTTTCTAATTTTCCTTTATGAAGAACAATTAATATATTTATATTAATTTTATTCTTCGGGCTTCTGCTAATAATGAGTGACACCTAGCAGCATATCATAATCAACTTTTGAATAGCACAAAGTAGGTAAAGAACCTATTTAGTCTACGGTTACCACGCAATTTAATCCTTCTATCACACAATATGCTAATAAAATTATTAGGGTATAGAATTACTATCAAACCACCAACTCAATCTTTTGTGTTCGATCATGGTTATCACAATTCGCTTAATCCTTGACGACCCACGATCTGGGTACATCGATCTCAAACAGGGAGAGTTCGCGATCTAAATCACCAAAATTAATGACCTCAAATTGTAAAACTAACCCTAAATCAATTCGTTTTAAAACATGTAACACAAATATAAAATATATATTAATTGACTACATGTATGTAAATTTATAATTATTTATTGTTTTAGATAATGAAAAATCAAGCACAACTATTAGATAAATAGTAACTAACTTAGTGTTTATGAATGTTCTATAATATATAATGTTGTTGTACAGTAGTAAAAACAATCTACATAAGAGTTCTAAATGAATTACGACCCAAAATACGGTACTAGCTAAGCCTACTCTCATCGTACCGCGTATCTAAGAAAATATTATACCATGTACCCGTACTCGTATTCCGTACCAAAGTGACCCACGACCCAAGTAACATTGTGTTCGATCTTACAACCATGACTCGTAATGATCAATTAGAAACTCTTTCTAATTGTTATTCTGCCTTGGTCAAGGACTCTTTGAGTCATATCCTAGAAGATCACATAGAATATTCTTCTTTTTTTTACTAAGGGTTATAGATTTCATGTTGTACACTCATAAGTCTCCATGCATGTCCAACCAAGTCCAACAATACATATCCAAGTTACATGATTAGTATATGAATATGTTGTATAGTTGAAGCATAGAAATCCATGTACAAGACAACCATGGATCAGTTGCATAACTATAACTTTAGGATTTAACATTGAAAGATATGAAAAACTCCATATGAAAATCATATGTTAGTCAATAGTTACGTTCAGTATACTTGTTCTCTAACAAACTCCCACACACCTGCTTTAGTGTTCCTATACTAGTGACTTGAACGAGTTACTTCATATCAAATATGAGTGAACATAGTGTATGCTAGTCTATCGGATTATATAGTGTCCACATAGTAATTCTATGATTATAAACATTTAAGAATTAAGTACTAAAAAGTATAGGTCTTTTCTTCCCTACTCCTTAAGAAAACATCTTCTGAACTAATAATCTATGGACTATATCATGTATATTAAAATAAAATAAAGCAAAAATATGATAAATAAACTTGCCATTTTATTTAATTAAGTAATGAATGTTGCTAGTACAACCCCAAAACATCATCTATATGATTGTTCTTATAGCATCCTACTAACTGTATACACTTCAATGATTTCACACTGCTATAACATGAGGCTTCGATTTGATTTAGCATAGATCTGGACTTTTCTATTCCCATTTCCTATATACTGATTCTTGAAGATAAATGCTATTGTTGTTTTGGTGTGTGGTGGGGGAACAGAGTATTTAGTATTTACACATTTCTTTCACCTTAATGTACCCTTGAAATAGCAACATTCCATATTGCTCCTCAATAAACAAGTTGTACAAGTTGGACTTCAATAATATCTTAATTGAAGAAAAGGAAACAACAATACAGATGATAGAGAATTTGTACTTTCCTTTATTTTTCAATCAAATTCTAACTCTTTCTAATTATTTGGGATGATTTTTTCTTTTTTCCTTGTATAGGTGGTATTGGAAAATCTCTCAGGGATTACTCTCTTGCCTATTTAGAGTTTTAGACCCAGCTATGTAGGAAGACTCACCCAAGCCACAATAACCCAAGCCACAATAACGACCCCTAGCACAAAAGTTTTAGTTGTATGTTTTCAAAAGCCTTTTGGTCCTTTTTTGGATAATGTATACTTTGAGTAATAGGAACTAATCATTTAATTAAGCAACTCCAAGACAATCAAGAGACCTAATATCTCAAGGGGACTAATTTTGTGGTAACTGGCCAATGTGAGAAGTCTAAAGATGAGACACAACATGTGCCAGCAAAGAAAGAAGAATGAACCATACATAAACAAAGTGGAAACTCGTGCCCAATTTCCTCAAATATACACAATATACATGAATATTGAACAGTTGCTTGTGACAGAAAGCATTAGAAGCAAAGCAATACATTTAGTTTGAAAGGGAAAATTGAATTGAATCTGCTAATGAATGAAGCTCAACCTCGAAGCTGTTCAACTGATTCAATTATATGATTGAAATTTGAACACTGGAAACTCACAATAAGTTCCAACTTTCATGAAGGGATGCAAACCACAGGTCTCAACCTTCATTCCTTCCAAGAATATGGAGCACGATCAACAACTAGATAATCTCCCCTAATATCTTTCACAACCCGAATCTCGTCGTCAAGATACACAGACTCAAACCTATATAAACAAGATTCCCTTGATTCCAATCACAAAAGCCAAAAAAACATTTAAAAAAAGAAAGGAAAAAAGATCACCGCAAACTTCCCATTTTTCCCCCAAAAATAAAAAAAGGGAAAAAGAAACAATACATAAGAACAGAAAAACAAGCAATTCAGTTGCTTAGTATCGAACAGGATAATAAAATCAAAGGCTATGAGTAGCCAAAATAGACTGCTGTTCTTGCTCTGTTAAATAGTGAACAAGTAAAATTGCAATTGTGCTGTGTATCAACCAACACATCAAGAGAAAACCAAAGCTTTGGGAAAAATGTAAAAAACAAAACAAGTGGAAAACAAGAAATCTATTAAGGGAAACGCATAACACAAGAATTAATGGTTCAAATGTCCTCTAACCATGAAGATTGAAGAACCAAAATGAGAGGAACTTGAAGCAATTTTATGTATTATGTCAAAAGAACTAGAATCGAACTTACCTACAGAAAAACAATATATATGATAAATTCACAAGTGAAAGTAAGATTGACTGCCACTCCATTGACATAAACAATGAAAAGCTTACCACCCCTGCCCAAATGGTGGCAACGGAAGCTCCCAATCCTTTCCTCGTAGAACTGCACTTGTAAAACTACCACAAACCAGATCATGAGAAATATCAACAAACCATCAATACTTGATACATAACAAACATCAAATCTAATTACCCCAAAAAAAAACTAAGAAAACAATAAACATCAAATCATTCACCAAGCATAAGGTCATAATTCCCAAACAATTCGCAAATTACAGCACAGTTCAAAATCATATGAGGGCAACACATATATGTACCTAAAGTTCACTCTCTGTCGTGATGCAATTTCAATACCGGACCGGACAAAGAACACCCCATCTGGAGGAAAAGTAATTACATTGTTCAGAGAACATTTCTCAACATCTATGACCTGTAAAACATCCCCGGCTTGTGTTCCGAACAGAGAAGCATTTCTTATGATGAATAGTTGTTCTTTCTCTGTAGTCCACAGCAACCTCCAAGTAGCCGATAGCAAATCACCGGTAGTGACTGTATCACTACCCAGAACCGCCATGGCCTCTATGGCTTCGACGATTTGGGATAGCTTTTGGGGGTCGTTCTGTGTTTTGAGGCCACGGTCTTGATCGGAAATGAGGTCGAGGAGCCGTTGTTTGGCTGAGAGAAATTGATCTGTGAGGGACGAGCGGGTGATGACAGAGGATTGGGATTTGTGGGATCTGGGAATGGAAAAGGTTGGGTTAAGTTTCGGGGGTTTGGAGGGAGTGAGGTAGTTGAAAATGGCGGGAATGGTGAAGCAAGTGGCCATGGGAGTTTAGATAAAGTTGGGGAGTTGAGAGTGAAGTCGGTGGAGTGGGAACAAATGGCAGTTGGGATTTGATCTGCTTGGATGGTGTGGGTGGGAATTGGTGGGTATGCACGTGTTCAGCAGATTTATTTACATTTTGCACCTGAAATTTTGGGTTTATTACACTTTTTCCCGTCAAAACTTACATTGATTCTGACTTTGATGTGTTTGTGCCAATTTCATATGACAACTTTCTTCGTCTTTTTTATTACGGTATTTACACGGGAAGGGGTCGGTAAAATTCGAATTTGCGAACTATTGCACAGCGGTGGCCACAAGGTGAGGTTAATAAAGTTTGAATTCGCGAACTATTGCATAGCGGTGGCTATTAAGTTAATCGATGAATTTTTATATGCCAACTTTCATACTTATCATCCTTTATTGTATTTTTTCTTCTTTAATATATTTTTACCTTAAATTTTTGGATTGTATTATGGTACTAAAAATATTGGTATTGTACCTAAAATTATTATTATTAGATATTGAGTTAAATCTTTCAAATGTCAAGTTACAACTGTTTTAAGATAATTTATGATTGATCATGGATTATCTTAAACAATTGTAACTTTTCATTTATAAATTATACTGTAAACCTTTAAAAGTTATAATCTTTATGATCAACCACAATTTTTTGTGATTAATCGTGTCCTTTTGAATTATAACTTGCATTTTAAAAAATTATAATTTAATTTTAAAATATTATAATTTTTTAGTATGGTACCTTTTTCAGTACCTTAATCTTCCTCCGAAAATTTACACACCTTTTCATCTAAATCTCTGCAAATTTTTATGTAAGTTTTATCATTCAATGTTTGACATCAATTCAATCTAATTTATGGTTCATCTGAGCGTTAATCACAAAAGGTTTACAAATCAACAGTCACTCAATATTGGAGATTATTATGGGGTGTTTGGTTTGGATATTAAGAATGAGGATTTAATTATATAACCCATGAACCCACCTTAGTCCATTCATTCCCAAATTTGGATACACAATGTAGACCCGGTACTATCAATTAAAAATAGTCTAGGCTCGTATGAATAGCATTAATGTTCTCACATACACCCTCGAAATTAAACATGAGTGTGAACNTTATATAACCCATGAACCCACCTTAGTCCATTCATTCCCAAATTTGGATACACAATATAGACCCGGTACTATCAATTAAAAATAGTCTAGGCTCGTATGAATAGCATTAATGTTCTCACATACACCCTCAAAATTAAACATGAGTGTGAGCNCATTCCCAAATTTGGATACACAATGTAGACCCGGTACTATCAATTAAAAATAGTCTAGGCTCGTATGAATAGCATTAATGTTCTCACATACACCCTCGAAATTAAACATGAGTGTGAACTTACTAATTTTCAATACTTGAACCAATAAAGAATGATGAGGCATAAGAGATATCGAACCAAAGAATTGTCCCTAGTTCATTGGGCTTTGAAAATAAGCAGCGCATGAACAATTAGGTAGCAAGTTTACCAGAAAATATTGAATGTCACAGTCACGAAGTGTTCAGATTTTTTTCAATATATATATATATATATTTTTTAATNATAAGCAGCGCATGAACAATTAGGTAGCAAGTTTACCAGAAAATATTGAATGTCACTGTCACAGTCACGAAGTGTTCAGATTTTTTTCAATATATATATATATATATTTTTTAATTTTTTTTATTCACGAATTATTCATTATTAATGAGTGTGTAAAGTGAAAAGCCAATTGAAATTTTTCTATATGTTTTTCATTGATTGTAAACATAATATGATACAATTATTTATAGAACTCTAGCTTAACTGAATGTCCTACTTGGCAACAGTCAATTTACATTGAATTTGAATAAATCAAAAAGACTCTCAGATGTATAGTTATAAAGTATTATTTCAAATAATATTGAAGATTAGTTGTCCACCTTATCTTCAATAGGAGAAGAGGTCTCATGTTTGACATAGTCTTCTACACGCTCTAACAATCTGAAGGGTAAGTCTTGGACATTCAGATTGTGTCTTAATAGCTCAAGTTAGAGTATTTATATTCTGTGTAGTTTAGGCATTTTACATTGTTTTATTGTCCTACTATATAAGGGTCTATATTGTGTATTCTAGGTTAAGGAGTATTACAAACTTGTTTAGCAATAATAATATTTTCTCTNGTTAGAGTATTTATATTCTGTGTAGTTTAGGCATTTTACATTGTTTTATTGTCCTATTATATAAGTGTCTATATTGTGTATTCTAGGTTAAGGAGTATTACAAACTTGTTTAGCAATAATAATATTTTCTATTTCTTCTTCCGTTCTTCTTTATTTGATCAAAATTTATATGGTATCAGAGCATAGTTTCGATCTAAAATATATTGTAGCACCACAGTAATTTAGTTGGACAAATAATATATTCTTAGATTACGGCTGACATCATATGTGGTAATTTTTTTTTTTTTCTTCAANGATCTAAAATATATTGTAGCACCACAGTAATTTAGTTGGACAAATAATATATTCTTGGATTACGACTGACATCATATATGGTAATTTTTTTTTTTTTCTTCGACTTCTTTACTTCGTATCAAGTTTAAGTAGTGCGACTAAAAGTTCTTGGTCTTGGATTGTGTGATTTGAGGGCTAGTGATTAGTGGGTTGTTGACTTTTTGAGGTTCTATGAGCTGTGAACAGTGCCGAAAAATGTTGTTCACTCGGTGAATAGTGTCGAAAAATACTGTTCACGTGATGTGAACAGTACCGAAGTTACTGTTCATATTGTGAATAGTGCAAACTCTATTTTTAGTGTCATTTTTGTTGTATTGTTGTATTGTTGTGTATGAAATCTCAATTTCTTATGGGTATTTGATTTGCAAAGTTATTGAGTTGATTTGTGGTAAACTTTGGATTGTTTGGCGTTGACTGCTTCTTTTGGTTCTAGTTTCTGCTCTTGGCTTCGCTGGTATTCTCTTTGGGTCTTGTTTTGAGTTTGAGAATAGAACTTTGAGTTTGCACCTATTTTGGACTATTGGGCTTTCGGCTATTTGATTTGTGCATTATTGCTAGTGATTTTTGTTGGCCAATTTCAATCCTTTGGGTTTGTTGATTTGGGCTGGTGCTGATTTGAGCTTCTCTCTGTTGGGTTGCTAGTTTGACTTTTCTTCTTTTCTTTGTTGGGCTTTGTTTTGTTGGACATTATTGCTGATGGTTTTTGTTGGGCAACCCCAATCCTTTGGGTTTATTGATTTGGACTGATACTTATTTGGGCTTCTAGTTTGGTTTTTCTTCTTTCATTTGTCAGGCTTTATTTTGTTGGACATTGTTGCTGGTGGTTATTGTTGGGCAACCCCAATCCTTAGGATTTGTTGATTTGAGTTGGTGTTGATTTGGACTTCTCTTTGTTGGCCNGTTTTTCTTCTTTCATTTGTCAGGCTTTATTTTGTTGGACATTGTTGCTGGTGGTTTTTGTTGGGCAACCCCAATCCTTAGGATTTGTTGATTTGAGTTGGTGTTGATTTGGACTTCTCTTTGTTGGCCTGCTGGTTTGACTTTTCTTCTTTTCTTTGTTGAACTTTGTTTTGTTGGGCATTATAACTTATGGTTTTTGTTGGGCAACCCCAATCCTTTGGGTTTGTTGATTTGGGCTGATGGTTTGACTTTTTTTCTTTTCTTTATTGGACTTTATTTTGTTGGGTATTGTTGCTGGTGGTTTTTGTTGGAATTTGGTTTTCTGTTGGACCCTTCATTGCTATTTGGGTCTTAATTTGTTGAGCCTACACTTTGAGTTTTTGTTGAATTTATTATTTTTTTCCTCTAACTCTTTGGAACTTCATGCTTACTCTAATGCGGACTGGGATGGTAACTCTATGGATCGTAAGTTCACTACTAGTTTCTATTTTTTCTTTGGTGATTCTCTTATTTCGTGAAAAAGTAAGAAACAAACTATTGTGGCTCGATCATCTATTAAAGCTGCGTATCATGCTATGACCTTCACAACAGTAGAGATAGTTTGGTTACGTTGACTACTTGCTGATTGTTTCTTTACGAAATCTCACACCATTGCGTGCTTCTGTTTTCTTCTTAACAAACTCTTGATATTTAATATTACCACATCATGAGTTTGAGGGAGGATGTTGGAGTATTTATATTCTGGATAGTAAAGGCATTTTACATTGTTTTGTTGTCTTATTATATAAGGGGCCTAATTGTGTATTCTAGGTTAAAGAGTATTACAGACTTGTTTAATAATAATATTATTTTCTCTTTTTTCTTTTACTCTTTTTTATTTGATCAAAGTTTACAAAAACAAGTGTAAGACAGTGGTTTTGTGAGTAAGTCAACAAATTGATCTTTGTTGGAGACAAAATGGACTTGAAGCTTCTAATGCACAACCTGATCACAAACGAAATGAAAGTCGATTTCGATGTATTTGGTTCTTGCGTGGAACACCGGATTGGAGCTCAAGTATGTTGCTCTGATGTTGCCACACCAGAGAGTTGGTTTTTTAGAGCTTGGGAATCCTAATTCACGTGACAGAGTTTGCAACCACTAAATTTTTGTAATTGTATTTGCTAAGGACTTGTACTCAACCTCAATACTACTATTTGCAACAGTCTGCTATTGTTTATAGCTCCAAGACACTAAGTTCTGTCCAAGATAGACAAAGTAGGCACCAACTGATCGTCTTTCATCTTTATCACCAGCCCAGTTTGCATCAGAAAAGGCTTGGATGTTGAGTTCATAAGCTTTTAAGAAAAGCAAACCAAAGGAGATGGTATGCTTTAAATACGAAGAATTCTTTTCATTGCAAGCCAATTAGGTGTACGTGGACGGTGCATGAATTTACTAACTTTATGTACTGCAAAAGCAAGGTCATGTATTGTAAAAAAGAAGTATTGTAAGCCTATTATAATGTTTCGGTATAGTTGAGAATATAGAAATAAATGTCCTTTAGATGCGGTTAAGGGAGTA